GGACAGGCGGTGGACTCAGTAGGGGAGGAGTAGGACCAAGAGAGGGCGGGAGGCCAAGAACCTGCTGAAGGAGCGGAACGTAGTACGGCCGCGGCCAGCACCTCCAGCAGCTCCAGCAGCACCGCCAGCAGCAGCAGTGCCTCCAGCAGCTCCAGCACCAGCAGCACCTCCAGCAGCGCCAGCAGCACCACCAGCAGCAGCAGCACCTCCAGCAGCTCCAGCAGCACCAGCACCAGCAGCACCTCCAGCAGCGCCAGCAGCACCGCCAGCAGCAGCAGCACCTCCAGTAGCTCCAGCAGCACCAGCACCAGCAGCACCTCCAGCAGCGCCAGCAGTACCGCCAGCAGCAGCAGCACCACCAGCAGCTCCAGCAGCTCCAGCACCAGCAGCACCTCGAGCAGCGCCAGCAGCACCGCCAGCAGCAGGAGCACCTCCAGCAGCTCCAGCAGCACCAGCACCAGCAGCACCTCCAGCAACGCCAGCAGCACCGCTAGCAGCAGCAGCACCAGGGTCCGCGACACCGGGAGCGCCACTCCGGAGACTGTTGCGCCGAGCGTACCACTCTCGGAGCCGCTGGGGAGAGGGCAGCTCCCGCCTAGGAGGGGAAGCACGAGCACCAGCTCCAGCAGCACTCCGAGCTCCAGAAGCACCCCTCCTGAGGCTGCAGTACTGTAAGTACCTCTCACGTAGCTGCTGCGAGGAGAGGGCTCCTCCAGATGTAGCACGCTCAGTCTCAGCACCCTCAGGCTCAGTACTCGCAGACGGAGCACTCCCAGGCTCAGCACCCCCAGACTCAGCACCCCCAGACTCCGCACCCCCAGGCTCAGCACCCCCAGACTCCGCACCCCCCCGCTCCGCACCCCTAGGCTCCGCACCCCCAGGCTCCGCACGCTCAGGCTCAGCACCCCAAGCAGGACGAGAGTCGATAGCTACCTCGACAGGCTCAACCGGGTCTACCTGGGACACACCTGAGGGAGCGGCACCCTGAGGGGGGAGGGGGTCTACCACAGTAGCACCTGGTGCGAGGAAGAGAGGCGGGGGGGGGGAGCGGGGCAGTGCGGTAGGGGAAGAGGCGGTAGTAGGAGACCGACTCGTCGAAAGTGACGTCCTGAGAGGGCAGGACACGGCGCGAGGTGGCGTGGTAAAACTGCCAACCAGACGCGTCCGGGACAAAGCCAAGGAAGACACAAGGAACAGCGCGGGAGGAGAGCTTGTCCGCGGACGTATCGCGGACAAAAGCTCGAGATCCCCAGACCCGAAAACGCGACGCATCGCCAACCTCTCCCGTCCAACGCAGTGTCGGCGAAGTCTCCGGAACGGAGACACGGGGCCAGACGTTGAGCTGATGCGCAGCGTATCGGACCGCAAACGGCCACAGAAAGTGGGGGGCAGCCGCATGGATCAAGGAGGTACGAGCGACCTCCATGACCAAGCCAATGCAGCGCTCAGCTACCCCATTCTGCTGTGGAGAGGCCGGAAGCGTGAACGACTGCTCAATGCCCTCCCCCTGATAGAAGGCCCTCAAGAGGTCGGAGGAGAACTCCCCACCTCTGTCAGAGCGCAGACGCAGGACAGGAAAGTCCGAGTGGAACCTCTCGCTGAGCTGGAGACGGGCAGCGCGGATCCAAGGGATCAAAACATCAGGGACTTCACCCTTGGTGCGCAAGGGGAAGACCGTGGTGTAGCGCGAGTAGTCGTCAACAACTATCAAGAAGTACCTCTCGTGACCCTGTCCACGGACGCGGGCTGGGCCCCACACGTCCATGTGGAGCGTCTGCAGGGGAGCAGTCGTCGGGGGAAACGAGGAGGAGTGAGGAGCGGCACGCTGCCGCCCCTCGACACAGGGAAGACAGGGAGGAGCAGGCGAGGGTGGGAGGGGAGGGAGAACCCTGGGAAGACCAGAGACAAGGTACCGGGAGTGCATGCGACGAAGGCGCTGCACTGACGGGTGACCAAGGCGGTGGTGCCATAGGACGGTCTCGTGCGACAGGGAGCGACACGAGCAGGGGGCCGACAGCTGACCTGACGCAGACGCAGACGCAGCTACCTGAGGGGACTCAGTGGTCAGTGTGTACAGGTCCGACCCCGGCTGCCGAGTAAAGGTAGCCAGGTGGCGACCCGTCCGAGCGCACGTGCAGTGTGTCACGCGCTCGTAGGCAGGGGTGAACTGGTGGACACCCCCGTCCTGGAGCGCACTACCCGCCACCAAGTTTGTAGAGAACGAGGGGACTTAGAGGCCTGACAGTGTGCCCGACGGGACTGCAGGACAAGGGAGGACAGTGGAGGAGGTCGCAATGACCGGACCCCCAGAGGGGTCAGCGAGGGAGACTGCAACCGGCCGAGCAAGCTGCTCAAGGGCAGTGCGGTCACGAAAGAAACAGCGAGAAGCACCTGAGTCCAGTGTGAAGGTGTGCAGTGCCTCAGCAGACTCTGTACCAGAGGGCGCAGACTCACGAGCACCTAGCGCAGCAGCCTCACCAGCACCTGGGGCAGCAGACACACTAGCACCTAGAGCGGCAGCCTCACCAGTACCTAGAGCAGCAGACTGGATACCGGGGTCAGGCGGCACACACAGGTGACAGGCACCCTCAGTACTAGTAGACAATGCATACATGGCAGTGAGGATAGCATCATAGTCAGAAGCAAAGATATCTACCCTCTGCCTAAGTAGCTCCACCCAGTCGGGGAGCTCAGCGTCGTCGCCAAACTCTGTACGCCAAGCGTCGCTCAGACGGGCGAAGCAGTGGGACTCTGTGTGACCACGCGTCCCGCAAGGCTGACCAGTCCGGGCACCCGTGCTAATAACGTACGGGCAGCGAGCAGTACTCAGCGACCCTCTGCTCTGAGCGTACCACTCACGAAGCTGCTGGGGCGAAAGAGTCTCGCGCGGACGACGCTGCTGCTGCACCGGGCCACTACAAGAAGCTCCCGAACTACTGACTCCAGGATGACTCCCACTACGGCCACCCCGACAACCCCAACTGACGTACCACTCACGAAGTTGCTGGGGCGTGAGGGACACACGCGGACGGCCCTGGAGCTGCATTCGGCCACGCCAGGAATAGCAGTAGCAGCAGTAGCGGCAGTAACAGCAGTAGCAGCAGGAGCAGGAAAAGCAGTAGCAGCAGTAGCAGCGGTAGCAGTGCGGGCAGGGCAGTGCTCACCAGTGGTAGGAAGGGCAGGCGCAAGACGGTGGCGAAAGCGGGGCCGCTACAGCTGGAGGGCGGGGTCGGGCCGCGGCAGGGAGCTCCGCGGCAGCTGCTGCAGGGCAGGGCCGGGCCGCGACGGCAGCTGCTCCAGGGGCCAGGGGCGGCTCCTGCAGTGGCGGCTGCTCCAGGTGGCCAGGGGCGGCTGCTGCAGGGGCGGCTGCTCCAGGGTCCAGGGGCGGCTGCTGCAGTGGCGGCTGCTCCAGGGGCCAGGGGTGGCTGCTGCAGGGGCGGCTGCTCCAGGGTCCAGGGGCGGCTGCTGCAGTGGCGGCTGCTCCAGGGGCCAGTGGCAGCTGCTCAAGGGTCCAGGGGCGGCTGCTGCAGTGGCGGCTGCTGCAGTGGCGGCTGCTCCAGGGGCCAGGGGCGGCTGCTGCAGGGGCGGCTGCTCCAGGGTCCAGGGGCGGCTGCTGCTGGGGCGGCTGCTCCAAGGTCCAGGGGCGGCTGCTGCAGTGGCGGCTGCTCCAGGGGCCAGGGGCGGCCGTCCCAAGGGCGGTCGCGGGGTAGGGCAGGGCGCCGCGGCGAGCAGGGGCGACCCCGCGCGGGTCCCAGTGGCGACGCGCGGGTCGCGCGGGGGGCGTCGCGACGAGGCAGGGGCGACGCGCGCGAGTCCCGGTGGCGACGCGCGCGTCGCGCAAGGGGCGTCGCGACGAGGCAGGGGCGACGCGCGTGGGTCCCGCAGAAGCGTCGCGACGAGGCGTGGGCGACGCGCGGGTCCCGCAGGGTCGTCGCGACTAGGCAGGAGCGACGCGCGGGTCCCGCAAGGGGGGCGTCGCGACGAGGCAGGGGCGACGCGCGCGGGACCCGTAGGGGCGTCGCGACGAGACAGGGGCGACGCCGGGGTCCCGCAGAGGCGCCGCGACGAGCAGGGCGACGCGTCGCGGGGTCCAGGGGCCGCGAAACCCTAAACCAGGGGCGGCTGCGCGGGTGCAGAGCAGGCCCGCGCGTGGCCTGCAGGGCAGGGCGGCAAGGTGGCTCTCGAGGGCGCGAGTAGGCAGACGCTCGAGGGCGCGAGTAGGCAGGCGCTCGAGGGCGCGGGTAGGGGCGCACGACGGCGCTAGAAGGGGCGCTCGATGGCGCTAGGAAGGGCGCTCGACGGCGCTAGAAGGGGCGCTCGACGGCGCTAGTAGGGGCGCTCGACGGCGCGGGTAGGGGCGCACGACGGCGCGAGGTACTATCAGACACGGTCGCGCAAGGGCGCGGCGGAACGGTGGGCCCTAACCAACGTCGGTCCTAGGTCCTGACCTAGGCGTCAGATACCATGTTAGAATGTAGAACTGAACGAGAATGATTGAACTAGGAATGTTGGGAGTACAAGTAGCAAACCCTAGAGTAATGTACCCCCTAAAGGCTAACCCACTGTAGCCTACACAGCAGTAACATGTATAATGTTTGACAGTAAGAGCTTTCATTGAGGGATTGGAGGATCCGGGGTTGAGGGAGAAGGTGTTGGGGGGAAGGCCGGTATCATTGGAGGCAGCGGAGGAAGCCGCTAAGTACTTTGTGACCTATGCGCAGCCAAAGGAGATAGAGAAGGAGGAGAAGAAGGTAGAGGTGAAGAAGGAGTCGGATGTGGATAAGATCACGAAGCAGTTGAAGAGGTTGACCATGCAGCTGACTCAAATCCAGCAGGGTAGGGGAGCGGGTATCCTACCTAGACCGGGAGGAGGAGCTGGAGGAGGAGGATTTAAGTGCTATCAGTGTGGGAAGGAGGGGCACATGACGAGGGAATGCCCTAACAAGGGGAGGGCGGCCCTGAACGTGATGCAGCAGATTATGGAGAAGTCGAAGCCGACCATGACCATAGCGGAATTCTTGAACGGAGAAGAGGGTGGAGTGGAGATGTTGGTGGGGGAGAGGAAGCGGAGAGCCATTAGGGATCCAGAAGGGTGGGGGATCGATGAGGCAAGGGAGGAGTTAAGGAAGAAACTAGCGGATGGAGGAGGAGGAGAAGAGGCAAGGGGGTCAAGGTTTGTGAGGGGAAAGGCGAGGATCTCGTCCCTCCCCACCTCCTACAACGTGGTGGATCAACTCAAGCTCACACCCGTGAGTGCGAGTGTGTGGAACTACATCAAGGACAGCGATAAGGATAGAAAGGAGTTGTTGGAGGCTTTAAAGAAGGGGGATGAGGAGAACGAGGAGGGGGCAGCTGCTATGCAAGGGGTGGCAAAGGTAGTGGCAGCCGCACCGGTGGAGGCTAAGGGGAAGGAGAAGGAGGCACCTAGAGCTAGTAACCTGTTTTTTCAGATCCCACAGTGTGATGTGTATCTCGGGAAGCATCGGGTGACCGCGATAGTTGATTCGGGAGCCTCTCAAACCGCCCTCTCCCACGTGATAGCTAGAAAGCTCGGGCTACTACCGTACATCCAGGATACCACCATAGAGTTCACCACCTCTAGCGGGGAGACTTCGAAGCCGTGGGGAGTTTTGCCGGACGTGCTGGTTAGAGTAGGGAAGCTGACTCTGCCGGTGGACATTGCAGTGACGGGAGCGAACACATACGATATGCTCCTAGGGCAGGATTGGATCTACTCGGCCAACGCGGATATCTTGACTAGTAAGGGGAAGATAGTTTACCAAGTTAACACCACGGAGACCGACTCGGTCCCCATCACCACAGGACCATTGGGTGGTGGTGGCCGCCCCTCCTATGTGCTCCTCCCCTCCCATACAACCCACAGGAACATCAACGAGGAGGATGAGGAGCGCATCAAGGAATGGATGGAGGAGCAGGACTTCCTCAAGTGGACGGAGGAGAGGAGGGTAGCCATGGCAGAGGAGGAAGGGGGAATGGAGTTGAACGCGGAGGAAGAGGATGAGTACTACCTATGGCTAAGGGAGCAAGATGAGGAAGGGGATAAGGAGGAGGCATCGAGTGAGGAGGAAGAAGAGGAGGAGAAGGAGCTTAAGGTGGTGGATGGAGAAGAGGAGGCTTGGGGATATGACTTTGGGAGCCCAACGGCGGAGGAGGTAGGGGCTTGGGAGAGTGCAGGCTTGGGGATCGATTGGGACAAGGAGTATGATGAGATGGTGGAGAAGTATGTGGGAGAGGTGAACGAGGCCAAGTGGGAGGGAGATTCCATGGTGGACGGAGAGGAGTATTTGGATTACGAGTGGGAAGAAGGGGAGCTGGTTTATGATAAGAGGAGGAAGCCGATAAGCACGGACCATTTCTTCGAGATGTACAGCTACCCGGCAGCAGAGAAATGGAATTACGTGGCAGTCGAGAGTGGGGACGAGGGGAGGATCATCCTAGGTAGTTACTACACCCTCAAAAAGGAGGTGCCTAGGGTAGCTTGCCCCGCGTTCGAAGACTTACCCGTTTCACTAAACCACGAGCTAGATAAGCAGCAGCAGAAAGAGGTGCGGACGCTTTTGGTGGAGTATAAGGAGGTCTTTTCCACGGAGAAGGAGACGCTAGGAACCCATCCCACCATTCGCCACCACATTGCCACCGGGAGTGCCAAGCCGATAGCCCACAAGCCGTACCGAGTCTCACCTTCCGAGCGCGCTAGAATCGAGGAGGTGGTCCAAACCTTGTTAGAGCAAGGAGTCATTCGACGGTCAGTACGAGTACGTGCGGATGCCATTTGGGCTTAGGAACGCACCCGCCACCTTCCAACGCCTCATGACAACCACATTCCGCATCCACAAAAACGCCATCCCATACCTCGATGACATCATTGTCTTTTCCAACAGTTGGGAGGAGCACCTTGAGCATCTGCGGGATGCTTTTGAGAGGATCAAGGAGAACCACCTCTTGCTGAAGCCGAACAAGTGTGAGCTGGGATTCTATTCCACCATCTACCTGGGGCATTTGGTGACTCGGGAGGGAGTGAAGCCGGACGGAGGGAAGGTGGAGGCGATTAGCAACATGGCGGCACCGGTGGACCAGAGGGGCGTGCGGGAGTTCCTGGGGTGCACGAGCTACTATAGGAGGTTCATCAAGGGGTACGCCAAGGTGGCACACCCTCTCACGCAGCTGCTCCACAAGGACCATGCCTTCGAGTGGACACACGAGTGCGAGCAGGCATTCATCGACCTTCAAACTCGCCCTCATTTCCCCTCCCATACTTGCATTTCCAGATTTTTCCCAACCATTCATTCTCCAAACAGATTTCTCGGCCAAGGCACTAGGGGCGATATTGGCTCAAAAGGACGAAAAGGGAGCGGAACGGGTGGTCGCATATGCGAGCCGAACTACAAGGGGAGCGGAGCGGAATCTGTCTTCAACACACGGGGAGTGCTTAGCGGTGGTGTGGGCGATCAAACACTTTAGGCCTTACCTCTATGGGAGCAAGTTCTTGCTGCAGATGGACCACCAAGCACTCCAATGGCTCATGACGGCGAAGGACCTCACGGGGAAGCTGGCTAGGTGGCGTTTGTTGCTGCAAGAGTACGATTTCACCATCACCTACAAGGCGGGGGAGACGCATAAGAACGTGGACTGCTTGAGCCGCATGCAACAGGGGTTGCATCTTCAAGAGATGGGGGGAGGACCATTTCATTGGCATGCATACATCCCATCACCTACCCATCCCCTCTCCCACACCAGCTACCCCATCCCCATGTACATATCCCTCTTTCCCAACAACCAGGAGGATGATGAGGAAGAGAGTAGTGAGTCGGTGACCAAGGGGGAGATGGAGAAGGGTGACGAGGAAGAGGAGAGTACGGAGGAGAATGGAGGAGAAGAGGAGGAGAGCTTTGAAGAGGGGCAGCGGCCGGATGAGGGAATAGAGGAGGAGCAACTGCTAGAGGAGATAGGGCAGCCTAAGAAGAAGGCAAAGGTGGAAGGAGAGGAAGGCGAGGAGGAGACCCCTAGTAAGAATCTCGCGTCCGAGACCGCCCTCGATATATGGGACGACACCAACACGTTGTTCTTCTTGGAGAAGGGAGTGGTTGATCCGGCATTGAGCACGGTGGAGAAGAGGAGGGTGAGAGCAAGGGGAAAGAACTTTGAGTGGAGGGATGGGAGGCTGCTGAAGAAGATCAAAGGGGAGTTGAAGCCGGTACCACGGAAGGAGGAGAGGAGGGACATCATAGCATTTCTTCATGGGTTGGGGCATTTGGGGGTGCCAAGGACCACGGACTTGGTGAAGAAGCAGTATGATTGGTATGGAGTGGGGAGTGATGTGACGGCATTTGTGAAAGGGTGTGCCACGTGTGTGTTCCAAAAGGGATCTTGGACGGCGAAGGGAGAGTTGCAGCCGGTACAGGTCACGAAGCCGTGGGAGAGGGTAGTGATAGACTTCATCGGGCATCTCCACACAACGGCAAAGGGAGGGAACAAGTATGTTATCTCGGCCATGGATCACTTCACCAAGTGGCCGGAGTGTAAGCCGGTGAGGAGTGCGGATGCGGCAACAGCAGCGGCATTTGTAGCAGAGAAGATTATCTCCAACCATGGCTGCCCATTGGTGATCCACACCGACAACGGGTCTTATTTCAAGGGGGAGTTTGGGGTGCTGTTGGAGAAGTTTGGGATCCACCACGAGTTCTCGCGTCCCGAACATCCTCAAAGCTCGGGACTCATTGAGGGGTTCAGGGTTTAGGGTTTAGGGATTATGCAGAAACCCAGAGAAATATACTACGCAGCTCACTGTATCCTACTGAACCAGCTGATGTACAGCAGATAAAGGATTCTGTCTGGTACGGAATGTGTGGAGTCAGAGTGTTTGCCGTAGGTGCTACCTCCGCGAGTTCCAGCCGTACATTCTAGACCGCCATTGATTGACCTTCACCCACAACGCGTTCCCGTACCCAGCCTGCTCTAAAATGCATGGCGGTGGGATGCATTCCAGAACCAAAGGCAAAGTGGGGAGGGAAGGGCGGGAGCAGAGAAACTGGACCTGCCGGCTCCCCAACTCCGTCAGGACTCCAGAATTTCCCGGCGCCGTGTTCGGCGAGATCGAACCTCATCTTACGATGGTGATCAAGCGCAGGAAAACACACGCCGCGAGGGCATTGTGTTGCATACAAACCATTGGCAATGAACAGCCGCACCAGAGAGTGACTCTTTCTACTCTTTCCGAATTAAATTATTTCCACTTTGCACAATGGCTGCGAGTTCGTTTCCCGCTTTGCAGCTTCCCTTACTAGCAGTGGTCATCTTCGCCAGCAGCTTCACCCTTTCCCATGCTCGCACCCTGCCGTCCGTGCATTCCGGCGAATCGCCTGGAAAACAGAAAGTCACGTCGCAATCTGTCGCCGCAAAGTGCGTTGCGGCGGGGCTGAGCGAGGTCTTACGCTTTCGCGGAGAGTCCAGTCGCCGCGTCTTTTCGCCACGGACCGTTTTAATGGCTCCCGGAAAAGACGAGCAAATTATGTTCACGCCCCGAGATAAGGAACACGCCCTTAGACACCTTCGCTGCGCGACGTTCACTGTCGAAACTCTTCACTCCTATCGCATCCTCAACAGCCTTTACAAGCCCGCGAATAACGCCCTCGTCGTCCTCGGCTCGCTCCAATCGGCGCCAAGCCCGGCAAATATTAAAAGTGACAACAACAAAGGGAGGTTTCTTGCATTTTGGGAACATATCACACGGACCGAGGATGATACAGACCAGGAGTGCTCTGAATGGGGCATCAGCTGGCTGATGTGGCAAACACGCGACGAGAAAACGCGAGGCGCGTCGAAAAGTGTTCCACTGACTGCTACTTCTGCGAATGCATCCGTAATTGCTGACGCCAAAAGAGCAGCTCTGGAGTCAGAAAAAACGGAAGCGGAAGCCAGGAATCGCATTCCGAGCGTTCTTAAAATGGATGACCATTTCGGCCACCAGGACGAAGTCAAAACGGCGAGGAGAGACAACGAGGAATACTTGAAGGCAGGTCGTGACGAGGAGCCGCAGCAGAGAGATGTGCGTTTCTACGTTCAAAAGGCGTGGAGTGCGTTTGTGTCTGCTCTTGAGGCTGATGACGTGGCGTCGGCCTCGTCTATCCTGTTCGGTCCCGACGCCGTGACGCTCATGGCTCCTGGTTCTGACAGCATCACTCTTGCGACGGAGCTACAGAAAACGAACCTGCTTAAGGCAAGCCCCCTATAGTTAATTGGTTTTTTGCCTGTCCGCCAATTCCCTGTTCTGATTCACATTCAGAACCCTAATGCTTTCTTACCAACTTCGTTCTTTGGACGCGCAGGAATTCAAGTGGTCGCAGCTGTCGTTGACGGTGAGCGTGGGGGAAATCGCGGTGTTACAAGATGCTGACACTAAGCTGATCTCCGGTTCGCGATCGTATGCCGCCCTCGTGCGATCGAACTACACGATCGCAGATGACCAAGGTGCGTAAGCATTGCCGATTCTACTCACACTCGGAATGACTGCTGGTTGAAGCCGGCGGCCAGAAAGCCAACGCCTTTTACGAAATTCTTTATACAGCGTCTCATACAGCGTTTATCTAACCGCAACCGCACTCTTGCTTCATGGCTTGAGCAGGTTTCCGAGTCGAGCACGGAAGGAGAGTGGAGCTATGGCGGCCGAGTTCTACTACCCCACGAGGGTGGCACCTGTCATGGTCTATGTGGAACGATAATGGTGCTGTATTCAGGAGGAAGAGCGGAACTGCTGCCTCATAGCACCGTTTACTGTATTCCAATATGTGAAACATCACGCTTTGTACATGTTATATGCAGTTGGTGACTGCAAGGTACATATAGATCCTTTATGAATGACATTTAAACGTGACCACATCATCCTCACAATCAGTCTTTCAACACCATATTTCTGATCACCCTCTTGTAACATATATATTGCAATACATTCGGCGAGTTTAGAGAGTTTATGAGTTTATATTGTTGTAGAATATATTTGCTGTTGCTATTTTAAAAATCATGAGCCGTTCTTATTAGGCACTGTTGGAAATACAAAGTATAAGAAAGTTATATGCTGTTAGGTTTTAGTGTAATCCTCCTTATAAGACTCCAGGTCCTACAATAATTGTACAATTATTGTAGGGGCTGCATTATTGGTACTCCTTTATTGGAGTTGCCATTATTGGTGGTACAATTATTGGAGTGGATGGGGTCATTCTGGAGGAGTAGCTACAGGCATAAATACCATGCTGTATGATGCCACAATCATTCCATTGTTATGAATCTTTTCAGTTACAAGTTTCTCTTGCTATCTATTCTACAATCAAGGCTTCCGCTACGACGGCACTATGCCTTTCTAGCATGGTATCAGAGCTACTCTAGGGGGCATGCTGCCAAAATTTGGTCAGAAACCTGTTACACTTCACATTGGACAGGCACATTAGCAAATTGGCATAGCAAGAAGCAACGATTGGATTGAAGGCATGGCACGGTTCGACGGTGAAGTCGATGCTGGATACGAGGCGTTTGAAGAAGCAATCTTGTTTCAACATGAACACCTGGAGAACATGATTGCAAGGGCACCACCGGCACTTCAAGCGTCATTAAGGGCGAAGTTCAACAAGCCAATCCAGTCAAGGACATCACACACTCCATCAAGCACTCTGCGTACTAACCAAACTCACGCTTCAAATGTGCATGCAGGAGTTGAGCGTGAAGGGGAAGGGAGCATACCTCAAGGAGGAGAGTCATCCCAAGAGGGGGATGCATCCTTCCAAGGAGAGGAGAGCTCGAACCCCGCACCTCAATCAACCATGCAAAGGGAAGCACGGGGGAGGAATGATGAGTATGGGAGTGGGCTGAATGAAATGGAGCATGGTGATGGGATTAGCGTGGGAATGCACATGAGAGGGCAGATTGGTGAAAAGAGTGGCACAATGAGTCATGTGGACGTGGAAGGTGTGGGATTTGAACCCTACACTATTGGTGCTCCCCCACTTCGACGATTGGCCACTAATACTCATCCCATTGGAGTTTCCCCAATGATCAGACCTCACCTCTTTGGCGGAAGTGCCATACCTCCTCGTGCACCGCGGCCTCAAATGGGAGCTGTACCTGCACGGAGCATGGGGCGCATGGGACACGGGATGCAGTCAAGTGGTGTTATGCGACGTGACCAAGTGGAAATGGTGGAACGTGAAGGCACACAACGCACGGTACAACTACCTCGACCGTCTACCGTGCCAACTCTCTTCGACCCGTCTCCCCGCGAGTACACGGAAGAAGACAAGGACCGGTTGTCACGCAAAATGGTAGGAGCAACGGTGGACAAGGCGTTCACCACTACTCCGTTCGACGGCACTAACTTCCGGGAGTGGGCTCTTCGGTTTCGTATGAACGCACGCATGACAAACCTGTGGGAGTTCTTTGTCACTCTTCAATACCCCGTTTCCATGGCAAATGGCGACGTGCGAGATGCAATGGAGCGGCTGGAAATTCTGCAAGCGGACTACTCACAACGTGCAACGCTAGCATTTTGGGTGCTATTGCACAGCGTTAGCGCAACGATTCAGCTGCATTGGACGTGTTTCAGGAATCGTACAGTCCGGCATTCGAAGCATGGGAGTACCTGATGGAGACTTACCAGGCGAAAGATTCGGTGGCAAAGGCGTTTCTCCAAAGGCAATTGGACAACCTGAAAATGGGGAGTCAGGAAAGAGTGGAGGAATACGTCAACCGCGCAACGGCGATTCGGGACAAGTTGGCATTGGCGGGGAAGATGGTGGATGAGGACACGTTCACGCTCAATCTTCTCACCGGACTACCAGCGCAATGGGAAGAACTAAATCATGCGGCTATGTTGCAGGACATAACGGACAGCTACACGTTGCAGCGGATGATGATTCAAGAGCAACGCTACCAAGATCTTATCACAAGGACTAACCGTGATCGACGTCCTCCACCCATGGCTGGACAAGCACGTGGAGACTCACCAGGAAAGGAGCGCACCGGGGACTACGATGACATGAATATGGAAAAGTCAAACGAAGGGATGCAAATGAAGAACACAAATGGCAACAATGGAGGAGGAAGACGCTCACCTCTCGTGTGTTGGTACTGCAAGCATTCTGGACACCCGTTTTCCAAGTGTCTCAAGGCACCTCCAGGTTGGGCACCACAAGGATGGGAACGAGGGAGAACAAATCAACGCACCGGGAACAGCCGTTCGACCTCGCCTCGAAAGAGTGGCAGCCCCAAGCGTGGTGACAACAATGAGTCAAAAGGGCAAGGGACAGCCGAGACAAGCACCAAGCGCACCGTCACATGTATTGCAACAATTCGGTCACCACAAGCGGCCTTATCCGAGACTGGAGGGTTTTCGTGGTTGCTGGACAGCGGTTGCAGCCAACATATGACATCGGACACGAGGTGGTTCGAGAATTTGAAGGAGCTGAACGAACCTGTGTATGTGGAGCTTGCTGATGGGAGCACTCTGAGCAGCTCAATGGTGGGCACAATCAGAGCAGCGGCACCCGATGGGACAACGGTCCGGTACATTGACGTCCTTTACGTACCCGGTTTGAAGAGCAACCTCCTCTCCTTTTGTCAACTACTGAAAAAGGGGGCTCACATGAACACCATTGCTGATGGAGACACCGAAATCACTATGCCTGATGGTGATGGGTGTGTACGGATTGGACTTGGCAAAAACGTGCATGGAGTGCTCTTGGTGGAATATGAGCCAGCACTTGCTTCTGCCAATGAATCTGGACATGATGATGAAGCATCGAATGTGGATGGTAATGGAAGGCTGAATGGACATTCTGCTCAAGTGCCCATTACCTACCGACTGGCACACAAGGCGATCGTGACGGACACTCACTCACCGCGCTCCTTTGATGACATGCTGCCGGGCGCTGGATCTTTGCAGCATCACGCCGATGAAGTCTCACCTCACGTTGCGGTGTGGACTTCAGGGGGAGAAGGTCAAAGGTCTGTGGTAGATAAAGGAGACTCCACAGAACCGGACTTACTCGGAGCTGATGAAGTCACTACAACCAAAGAAAAAGGGAGTGCTGCATCAAATGACTTGCCTGCAACAGATGTCTCTGTACCGTCGGAGAATGATGGTGATGCGAACAATGAGGTGGGGCAAATCTAGCAAGGAGCAGATTACCTCACCAAGCCGATTCCCCCTGGAGCAGGATCTGTCAACAATCAGCCAAAGGGTGCAGGTATTGCACACGCATGTGCGAGCTTCTCGAGGCGTGCTGGACAACAAGGCGTTACGTAACTCCACAACCTCACTCATGTGTTTGCAGCCGTGTGCATGATCACACACGTTGTGAATACAAACACATGGGTGAGGGGGGGAGGAGTGTGGAGTATGGAGTATCTCACAGCATGGAGCAAGAGTTATGAGTTTAAGTTCACTTTCATGTTTCACAACGGTCAAGCGACATACGACAGAAGACCTACTGCATCATTATTGAACAAGTGGGGACAACTCTCTGGTGGTTTGGCACTGCTACTGGTCGCCAACAGTTGCTGCAGTCGTGCGCCAGCTGCCTCTGCAGTCCGCCAGCTGCCGTTGCCTGTTGGTTTCAGGGGGAGTGAAACACCACAAGTGAAGACGTTAATATAATACAAGGGTATTCATGGATGACTACACTACTGGATCAAGGACAAAAGTGTACAAGGAAGTGCTGGAGCTACAGGAGATACAGCCCCCGGTCTGCCAGCTTACCATGGGGCAGCTGCTGTTGGTCATGCAGGACGACAGCTGCTGTTGCTGCAGGCCGCCAGGTGCAGCCCGCGAGGTGCAGCTCCAAGGTGCTGCAGGCCGACGGTAGCTGCTGCAGGTCGGAAGGAGCTGCTGGTGCTGTCAGGCTGCTGGTGCTGCAAACCGTCGCCTGCTACTGCAGAGTGCAAGGTGCTGGTCCAGATGCCAGCTGTTAATGCAGGCCGCTGGCTGCTGCTGCAACACCAGCTACTGTTAGTGCAGCCCGCCAGGTGCAGCCCGCCAGGTGAAGCCGCCAAGTGCTGCTGCAGGACGACAGGTGGTGCTGGTGCTGCCGCAACAGCTGAGTGCGGGCGTGGTGCAGATCGCTAAGAGCTGGTGCTGCTGCTAAGAGCTGGTGCTAGAGAAGTCCTGCAGCTGTTGCTTCCCGGCAGGTGTTCCTGTCCGCCAGCCGCAGAAGCTCCCGTTCGCCAGCTGGTGTGGGCGGGGGGGAC